GATAAAATAGGAAACTAACTTTTCCTAGAAAACTAATTTCTAGATCAGTGGAATTCTCCAATTAATATCACATGATTCTAGGAAACTAACTTATGTATGTTTCCTAAACTGATGGACCTAAAATTATGGAGAATCAATCAGAGAGTCAATCTTCTACTTTCCAACAATTACTACAAGGATCAATATCAAATGAATTTTGATAGTAAAGTGGGGAGGGAGAAGGAATTGGATTGAGAGGAAGGGGGAAGGAACTCCATGATCCTGAATCTGGTTTTCATCGATTACTCCAAAAACAAACCCTGATGATTTGAGTTCAGGTACAGTATTCACCTATGTAGTTGGGGAGAGTTGTTCCTCAAGTGGATCCATGGTCGGTATGCACTAGATACCCAACTCCACAACATTGCTACCTTGCCTTTGTTCTTGATTTGTTTCTATTTTTTTTTCTCTTTGAGAATCAACTGTAGGGCTCCCACTTTCTGCAGTAGAGTCACAATCCCCCAAATCCTGTGCCTCCAGAATTTCCGTACAACCTTCTTCATTAAAGAGCAATTCAGTTCCAAGAGTTTCAAAATCTGTGAACTTGCAGGCCTTTGTTGAGTTGATACTGCCTATACTCGACGGCAGGTCTCCACCATCATCTTCCACATCACTCAAAACCTCCCATTCTGAATCATCGTCAGAATCTCCTTGCGCGATCCTATTGTGACAAGGGTTCAGCTTCTCTGGTGTTGTGGAGTTCTCTTCAGTAGCCGATCTCCATTAAAGCTTCTTCCCTTGTGTAGATGCAGTGCCAGCAACCTGAGAAAGAGAAACTTTGATTGCCGTCTTCGTTTGGAGGAGAGGCAAACGAACACAAGCCGCTGGGGACAAAGATAGACCATAAGATTTGTCCCCCAATGGCGCACAGGACCTGTGCACATGTTTCTTTAAAGGGTCATGTGACCCAACTTGAAACTCAAGACCCGGCTTGAGCAGTTGGGTCGGCTAAGGAAGGGGAAGGAATTTTCGGGGAAAATGACAGAGTTGAAAGGCGGTCACTAAGAAAGCAATTGGAAGATATTTTGATTAAAGAAGAGATCAACTAGAGGCAAAAGTCGAGATACCTATGGATAAAGGAAGGAGACAGAAATACAAGATTCTTTCATGCAATGGCAAATGCTAGGAGGAGTAGGAACTTCATATCCAAACTTGAAGTGGATGGAAAATCTCTAACTCAACACAGGGAAATAGCTAGGGCTTTTGTGGGTCACTTCAATTTTTACAAGGCCCCTTTCTCGGAGGATAAGTTTAGATGGGTTGGAGTGGACAAAGCTTACGGAGGCTTATAAGGTGTAGCTGAAAAGACCTTTTGATTTGGAGGAAATTAAGGAAGCAATCTTTTCTATGGAAAGAGTCAAGGCTCCAGGGTCAGACAGGTTTACAATGGCCTTTTATCAGGACTGTTTGGATTTCCTAAAGATGGACATTCAAAAGGTGTTCAATGAATTTTTCGGAAGAGATGTGATTAACTCGGGGATGAATTCTACTTTTATTGCTCTTATTCCTGAGGAGCAAGATGCAATTCACCCAAGTGAACTTAGACCCATCAATTTGGTGAATAGTCTCTATAAGATAACCGCTAAGGTTCTTTCTTGAACAATTAAAGCAGTGCTTCCTTCCTAAATATCTTTGAATCAAGGGGCTTTTGTTGGGGAAAGACAAATCATTGATCAAATCCTTACAGCCAATGAAAGCTTGGAGGACTATAGAAGAAATAGAAAGAAAGGGTTAGTGTGTCAACTTGATATGGAAAAGGTGTATGATCAGGGTGGACTGGTCCTTCCTTCAGGAGGTTTTGAGGAGCTTTGGGTTTGGTGATAAGCGTAGTGAAGAGCTTTCTATAAACCACCATCACCATCTAGATAGTACAATTCTCCAATTTTCTGTCTGCCACCAACCACCTTCTCCATCTTGATATCCTGAAAGACACAATAAGTAGGATAAAAGGTGACTGACCAATTAAGATATTTGGCCAGCTTACTCATAGACAGAAGACCAAAGGGAAATTTGGGTACATATAACATGGAAGATAAGGTAACATCAAAATCAAGAGACACATTACCGGTACCGATGATGGAGAAAGTTGTATCATTAGCAAAGGTGACATTCCATGACATATGAGGAGATAAAGGAATAAAAAAATCTAGAGATCAAGTCATATGGTCTGGAACTCCAAAGCTTATTACCCAAGGTGTAGATTGAGGACAAGAAACTATACCAGTCATACCTAATGTAGAAAGGGTAGCAGTAGTATTAGAAAAAGAAGGGAGGTGGAGCTTCTCATACTCCTCATGTGTGATAGTTACTAATTCCTTCTCCTCCCCACCTCCTAAAGCAGGTGCTCCACCAACTGATGTAACATTACCGAAATGATCTCCAACTATAGCATGATTATCCCACATAGATGATGAGCCATACAAGTCATAACAAAATTTAACTGTATGTTCTTTATGGCCACAATAGCAGAATAGCTACATTCACACACCTGTAGATGTCCACCACCACTTATGGTGCCATCCCCAGCACTTCTTCCATCTCCCCCACCACCTCTAGCAACAGCTATAGACCACTAAACAAACACCTTGTAGGCAAAAAAACAAAACTATCACTGCACACAAGTTACACACTGCTAGGAATTTCTACGAATACCACAGCTTCACAGCAACTTAACCACAAACTATTTAGTGCTGTCCACCTCTCACGATTCAGGGACCATGCAAGGGACAAATCACCACTAGTCTATACACATAGCCAATCACACCAATCCTTGAACCACACAACAACCAAGTTACTCAAGTAATATGCTTATTCAAAAACGCTCTGCAACTCCACCCCAGAGGCCAGATCTCCTTAGCTATGTTAGCCCATAGAAAACTTCTGCTTATATGGGGTAACATAGAATTGCAGTATTGCACAGCCAGGTCATCACCATGTAATTCTCCTCCACCCACTAGGAAGAGTTAGTCTCAGGTTTCTTTTCTTCATTAGAGACATACCCCAATTTTCCATGAGCACCAATAGCCATTTTGGCTGATTGTGACCACTCCAAATAGTTTGTACCATCCAACCTAACTGTAGTGACGGTCCTTGCTCCAAAGGGTCACTAGCACCTCCTCCACCTAGTCCCATTTCACTGGTAGACTTGTACCCAACTCCACTGCCCTCCATAATTCCCAGAATAGTTTAGAAATCAACTATAGATGAAAGAAAATAGATTTATCCCTTTTAGAGGCCTCGACCAACCTTCTGGTACCCAAAAACCTTCGCTCACAAAGATTCCTGTCTCTGTGGGAGCCAATAAAAACAAGAGAAAAGGCTGCCACGCCAACCAAAGACCTCAAAAAACTCTAGAACCCAAACTGCTCCCTTAAAAAAACACCAAGTCTAAAAAATCCAGAGTGCCCCTTCCTAGGTCAAAAATAAAGAGTCCTACTGCAATCAAGACTCTTCCTCCTCCAATTCTTCCTGATTTCAATGACCAACCCAAGATCTGACACGAAGGGTTCTAGATACACCAAAAAAATCCAAGAACTAGGCACTTTTGAAGTCTTCAATCAGCTCTCTAACTCACCATGCAGTCATCTGATCTAAAGCTGCATGATGGAAGAATGAAAAAATCCCAAAAGTTCCTCTTATACTAAGTAGAAAAAGAGAAAACAATAATCTGATTTGATAACAGTGCAAAAGAAGAAAGAAAGAAAGAGTTCTTAGTGAGAAGAGAAGAAGAGATGGGGAGATGCGAATAATGATCTGGCCGCCCCACTCATTATCTTATATACTTATAAAAAAGATTGATTACAAAGACTAATATGCCCTTAATGGGGCAGCTACTGTTCATAACATAAAAACAGCTCAAAAAAACAACATAAACTAATGGGCCTTGGGCCCAATCACATTAACTAATGACCCAACAACACTTAACTAATGATTATAAACAAGAAAATCATAAGAAACTGCTGAACCTCAACACTTTCCCTACCTTTTCTTTCAAACCAAATAGGCAAATACACAGCCCAACATAAAAATAAAAGGAAATCAGAAAAACAGAGGAATAAGAGAGAAGAGAAGAATGCAGGGTTCAGTTTAGTTGAGAAAAAAAATCTCTCAACTGCCACCCCACTTATTTTTATTATATAATAGAAGGCAAAATTACAAAGGTACCCTTGATTATGTAAAATAAAGACAGTAATGTTCTGCAACCTATAATTCTAACAATACTTATGGCCAGTATGCTTCCATTGTGACCCCCAAAATGTCCCTCCAATGCCTGAAGGGCCCAGATTGCAGAACAGAATAAATTTCATCCAATGGGTGGTCTCTTTGTTACCAATTATACAAGAAGAGAGGTCCTTTTATAGATCAAATGTATTGTAAGGAAGTTCCTTCGACTTCTAACAATGCAGGCCACTTGAACCTGGGAATCTGGTCACCAATTTCCAATGTTTTGAATTGCAATTATGGTTGTTTCTGGAAGATGCATCTCTAGCTCAGCTTGGTTGCTATCATTTGAAATATTTATTTCATTAATTTTTATTTTATGTTCCCCCTTTTCTATTTGTGACTAATAAAATCAAACCCCTATAAATCAAATTACTACCAATCTCAAACTGCAAATTCCTTATGCAAGGAAAGAAAGGAACCGAAATGACAAAGTTACCAGTGCAAGGGCTTCGAAAAGAACGGCATGTGATGCATTGTTTTTGTTAACATTTTTCACAATATCAGTTCCCATTAAAATACGTTGCAAAACCTACAATCACCAATAAAATAGTTAGTCAGAAGTTTCAAATTGAAAGGTAAATTACTTCAATATTTTCTTTAAACATCAGAACAATTTCATTATACTACATGAGAAAAGACAGACCTCAAACAATGATCTTCTAATATTTGGGTCTTCAATGGTTGGAAAATACTGAAGAGCCCTCATTGTCTTAACCTGCAAAAACCAACTTTTAGCAAAAGGCTTTGTTTATCAAAACATCAAGAAGTTGCTAAGTATTCAAGGATATCACCTCCAAAGAATCTGCTTTCATGACCCAGCTAACTAATGCATGCATACAGAGAATAACAAACTACAAACGTTCAGTTAACAAGTTCAAAAAGGAGGAATTAGTTTTAACACCTACTACGTCATTTGACTCATCCTATGAGGGGAATAAAAACTCAGAGATTGGTTTACCCTTAAGAGAAGAAAAAGTAAACAGAAGATGCTTTTGGATCAAACTTGACATTATTGGTTTACCCTTCGTGGAGCTTCCCCCACCCACAAGTCTTCCCAAAAGTTAATTCTATTGCATGAGTTTAGATCAAACCTGACATGATTGAGGAAAAGTGGAAGATGCTTTTGGATCACTTTCCAAGGTGAAGCACTTGAAGCTCTACTAGAAGAGTTGTAATTGCAGCGGTAAACGTGGATGGGGGGTATTAAGGAACTCTACAAGGCCTTAGATTGTTCAATTTCAAGTTGGCCAATGAAGTGCCTTGGATTACCTTTGGGAGCTAACCCTAGAGAATTGTCCTTCTAGAACCCAGTGATAGATTCTCTAGGAGACTTGTTGTATGGAAAAGAGGGTATATTTCCTCGGGGGGTAGAATTACTTTGATTAAATCCACTTTACCTAATCTCTCAATGTTTAGGATTCCTATGAAGGTGAGAAAAGTGAATGAGAAAATAATGAGGGGTTTTTTGTGGGAACCAAGGGAAACAAGAAAAGACCATTTGATTAAGTGGGCAGTGGTTTGTAGGAGTAAAGCAATGGGTGATTTAGGCATTGGCAATATTACACTAAGGAATCTAGATTTGCTGGGAAAGCGGTTGTGGAAATTGCCTCTAGATAAGGATATATTGGGGCATAAGGTGATTATCAGCATTCATGGTCAGTTGGACAATGGCTAGGATGTCAAAACTTCCGATAGATCAACAAGGAGAGCTCTATGGAAAGCCATCAATTATCTTCTTCCTTTAATTTCTTCCTTTTATCAGAAATGATGTTTGCTCGGGTAATCTAGTTAAACTTTGGGAACAAACCTGGGTGGGTTCAGATTCATTTAAAAATTTGTTCCATCTTTGTATGCTTTGTCTTCTTTCAAAAGGGAACCTCTCTAAGTTTATAGTTCCCTTAGTGTCTAGTATTGGTCTTGGGTGGGTTTGGGCTGCATAAGAGGTTTAAGAGATTCTAAGATTCTGTTGGTATTTGACAGAATATGTTTGGACCCCCTGAATCCTGACAAATATGTTTGGACCCTTTCTCCTTCATGTTCCTTCTCCTGTGCTTCCTTTTTCAAGGCTTTGGCCAACCCCTTGTCCCCTTTAAATTTATTCCCTATTAAAGAAATTTGGCCCAAACCAATTCCTCCAAGAGTAAGAGGTTTTAATTGGAAGGTTTATTATAAGAAAATTAACACTCGTGACTTGCTACAGAAAAGGAGACATTCCTCCTTTCTTCCTTTGCATTGGTGTCTTCTTTGCAAGGCTAATAGAGAAACCTGCTTTCACTTACTTCAAGTATTTGAGCTTGAATTTTTGCTTTATTTGGTTGCACGTGGGATCCTCCTTCCAATTTGTCAAGCCTCTATGCTCCTAATTCTCTTGTCTGACCGAAAAGGAGTAGAATCATGTGGAGAAATCTCAGAGCTGCAATGCCCTGGACTATCTGGGAGGGGAGAAATGCAAGAATTTTTCCTGAAAAAAAAAGAAGGAAGCATAGAATTCTTGATAGATTCAACAACTATTAGAGTTGCTCATTGGCTGAAATCCCTTGAGTTGTTTTCAGACTTTTCTGTGGAAAATTTAGTGAGGAATTGTTTGAAGGTAGGTAGCTACTCTTCAGTGAAACCTAGAAGTAATGTGCTATGGACTCCGACAACACAAGGATCGATAAAATTGAGTTTTGATGGTAGTAGTAGGGAGATCCAGAACTCTCAAAGATTGGAGGTCTATTCAGGAATGAGCTTGGTCATGTTGTGGCATTGTATTCAGGTTTGGTTGGTGTTGGGGATTCTTTGAAGGCAGAACTATCGGCAGTAGAGAAAGGGGTAGTCAAAGCAAAGGAATTAGGTCTTTCCAAGCTGATCGTAGGAGAATCTCAGTTTCTGATCAATTGGCTGCAAAATAAAGGAAATGGCTTTTGGAAATTTCACAATGAAATGAAGAAAATTAAATGGCTTTATAGGGATATGGATGTAACATTCCAATGGGTCAAAAAGGCAGCTAACGGTATGGCTAATATATTGGCTAAACAATGGGTTGGGGGAAATCAACTATTTGGGGCTAAATTGTAATTTTTGGATAAGCCATTTTATCTCCAGCTGTAGCTGTATTGAAATTTACATTTGTCACTTAATTATTGAAATTGTGTGTGTGTGTGTTGATTGCAATCTTGGGTTAGAAAGAAAAGAGAAAAAGAGATTGTGTGTGTGTGTATTGATTGCAATCTTGGGTTAGAAAGAAAAGAGAAAGAGAAGGAGAAGAAGAGACAAGAGAAACAATTGTCTAAACTAGAGAGAATGGTCTCTCACCCCAGCCGACCTCAACTATATATAGATTGGCCAAAGAATACAAAGACTATTATGCCCCTACTTAAGTATGGGACATGTAACTTAAAGAAAAACAAAATGAACAAAACACAATTTAATAAGAGAAGAATGGCTAAAACAACCCTACTTAGCCAACTCTAACACTCCCCCTCAAGCTGGAGAGTATATGCCATATAGACCCAACTTGTTACATATATAATCCACTCTTCCCAAACTCAAATCTTTTGCAAACAAGTCTGCCCACTGATTTCCTTAGCTCACATGCTTTGTGCTTATCACTCCAGCAAGGACTTTCTTATAAAATGGAAATCAACCTTTATGTGCTTTGTCCTCTCATGAAAGCCTGGGTTGGATGAGATGTTGACTACAGCTTGGTTGTGACAATACAATTTCACAAGGCTGTTCACCGAGAACCCAACTTCCTGCAGGAGGTTTTTCAACCATACTAACTCACATGTAGTGTGTGCCATGGCCCTATATTTATCTTCAGCACTACTTTCTACAACAATCTTTTTCTTACATTTCCATGTCACTAAATTTCCTCCAAAGAAGGTAAAATACCATGTAGTGGACCTAGACACTGAACCAGCCCAAATCTGCATCAGTGTAACCAACTATTTCAAGACTCCCTTAGAACTTGTACAACAACCCATGGGCTGGTGCTCCCTTCAAATACCGCACAATTCTAAGAAATGTATTCCAGTGAAAAATTCGTAGATTTTGCATAAACAGGCTTACCACACTAACTATAAAAGAGATAATTGGTCAGATAATAGTTAAGCAGTTTAGATTTCCCACTAACTGTCTATACCTTCCAAGAACATCAAACATTTCACCTGCATCAATGCTCAACCTAATCTTTGGCTCCATGAGTGTTTCAGCTGGTTTAGCACCTAATATCCCTATCTCTTCTAGTAGGTTAAGAACATATATCCTTTGGCACAAATTGAGGTCTTGTTTCAACCTAGCAAATTCTATACCCAAGAAATACTTCAACTTTCCAAGATCTTTTGTCTAAAAGTGATCTTGTAGAAAGGCCTTTAACTTGTCAATCCCCAATCTATCACTGCTAGTTATAACAATATCATCTACATACACCAACAAAATCTTTCTAGCCTCGGAATCATAGCTAAAGTATTGAGTGGTCAACCTGACATTGCTTCATGCCAAACTAAGCACAAGCAAACTGTTTCAGCCCATAAATTGCCTTCTTGAGCTTACACACCTTATCACCATGCAAGAAGGCAGTTTTAATGTCAAGCTAAAATAGTGGCCATTCATACATAGCAGCTAGCGAGATCAAAACACGAACTCAATTGCTCCACCCTACCATCTAGTAAGTACTTGACAATATACACCCATTTACAACTTACAACATGCTTACCTGGAGGAAGAGTGGTGAGCTCTCGTCTGTGATTCTGTTCAAGGGTAGAGAATTCCTCTTCCATAGCCTGATGCCACCCTAGTGAGGTAAGATCTTCTTGGACATTCTTAGGTATAGGTATAGATGACAAAAGAGAAACAAAATGACAATGGGGAGCAGAAATGTGAGAAACAGAAACATAATTAGATGTTGGGGAAAAGTACAGATATGCTTACATTTTCCCAATGCAATGGGAATAGGGTTGTCAATGAATTGGGTCTACTTGACTGAACTGATTATATATCAGTTCTGGTTCCCAGTTTTGTTCCGTTGAGTTGGTTCTGGTTCCAAGTCTTGTGTCTCGATTATTATTGTGTCAAAATTGGTTTAGGCTGTCCCAAACCGATTAAGAACAATGTAATATTATATATCATATATGCTTGGTTTCAGAACTGGAAACTGATTCTAGGGGGCTCATTAGAGGCTGGAGGGTTGGGAGGATGGAAACCCCCCTCACTCACTTACAGTTTGCTGATGACACGATTCTGTTTTGTGAAGGTGGTAATGTGAGGTTTATCAGGAACTTAAAGTTGGTGATACAA